GCCGGCACACCGGGTTCTAGTCCTGGTCGGGGCACCGGATTCTGTCCCAGTTGCCTCTCTTCCAGGCCAGCTCTCTGCTGTGGCCCCGGAGTGCAGTGGAGGATGGCCCAAGTGCTTGGGCCCTGCACCCCATGGGAGACCAGGAGAAGTACCTGGCTCCTGCCATCGGATCAGCGCGGTACGCCGGCCGCAGCGCGCTGGCCGCAGCGGCCATTGGAGGGTGAACCAACGGCAAAGGAAGACCTTTCTCTCTCTCTCTCTCTCTCACTGTCCACTCTGCCTGTAAAAACAAAACAAAACAAAACAAAACAAACAAACAAACAAAAAAAACCAACACCACCAAGGCTGTAAAAATTTTTGAGTGTTGTTTTGTTTCTTTGCCTTAGTATACATCTGACTTAGTATCCTACAGGAAAATCGTCAGGGACACCTATACTTCACTTGTGTCAAGTTTCGGTAGAGGACTAAGTTCTTAAATACTTACAATACTTTAACTCTTTCAAAGTGTTGTAACATTGTGCCTTTATTAATTTCTCTTAGCAATCTTGTGAAGTCTTGTTTCCCATACTTGACAGTGAGAAAGCCGAGGTGCAAAGTCATGCATGAAATGATTCATTTAATTTTACACAGTTAATGAGAAGCTGGTTCAAGTCTTGAAGGTAAGTCTTTTCATTCCCAGTCCTGTGATATTTTAGCAAGTTCACTTGCATTAAATCTATAAGAGTAACATCTGGACCAGTGACTTACACTCAGAATCTGCTAATTAATGTAACTATGCTTTAGGGTTGAATATGCCATTTCTTTGGAGTGGGCAGACACTGTATCTTTCACCAAGCCTAAACAGCATAGGATTCCACTAACCTTTGTGCTTTATTTGATGAAAAAAGCCCAACAATCCAGGAAAGAACAATTTTACTTGATATTTTTATTCACTTAACAGAAACATTCACTTATCAGGTATCACTGAAGTGCAATTTACAGAACTTAGGGAAATTAACATATTCAAATTCATATTTTAAGGTTTTAGGTTTTTTTTTTTACAAATATTACAAATGTACATCCATTGGTACAATATTGCCATTCAATCATGCTTTTTATGTACATACTTTCAATTAAGAATTACTATTTATTAAGTTTATTTTGCTTAAAAAATGCTGAAAATTAACTGGGCACTCCTGGGAAATATATTTTCCTTACTGATGTATATACTGCAGAGTGATAGAAATTTAGTGCCCATGTGAAAAGAGGCACGAGAATCCAGATAATTTTATCTTCAGTTTTAAAGATCCCTCCAACTTTGATTTTAAAATTATGAGTTGGGAAAGTATGATATCTCTTTTTCCAGAGTTTTCATTTCCCTGTAGAGAAGATATTGTTTGGTCTTAATTTCTACAGATGTGGCTATCAGTGTTCATTTTGGTGGGAGGTCAGGCATAATGGGCATATTCCAGTAATCAAAAACAAACAAAAAAAGACTATGGCAAATCCCTGTGTAAGAAGTGTCACAAGAACACATGGGGTTGGGGCTCTACCTTAACCCTGAGCATCAGCCTGCTTTATAGGTCAACCTGGGGTAGATACAGGCCCATGAGTTCATTCCTTTTGGTAGTACCAGGGAATCCTTTAGGGATGGGGAAGAGCAGACAATAATAAAATAAAAGGAAGGAGAGTGAAAAAAGAAAGTAAACTAAAGAGGTAGACTATATGGGAGAACAAACAAAGAATGATGACAATGGGTAACCTTCCTCTCTGGTTTCCCAGAATTGAGGGTGGGAGAAACCACTTGAGAATAAAGTCTTGTGCTCCATGCCCATCTACCCTATGGTCCACATCTACTGTATCTTTGTTTCCACGTCCTCATTTCACTATCATCCTTTTATCTGATTCAGAATTTGTGGGAGAAATTGAACAAGAACCACCACCATCACAGCACTCCCAGAAACAGCTGTGCTTCAGCCTTCACTGATGAATCGAGACCATGGACAGCAGCAAGGGAGCCGAATCTTTGCCTTCCCTTCATCCTACTCTGCATTGTCCTGTTCCCACCCATGCCCATCCCACGTTATCCCTCATATGTTATGCCAACTCTTGTGGGTGGGATACATAACCTAGGCAGGTCTGTGCCAACTAAGAGCTGCTTTGATAGTTCTACATCCTTTTCTGCAACACAGAGGTTTTGATTTTCCACTTCAACCACGAGCTCTACAAAAACTCAAAGCTGGGATCACCTGTCAAAATGTGTAAGACAGTGAGTGGATTTCCTAATGCTGGCTTGGATTATGGACTCTGCAAACTCTATTAGAAACAGATGATAGAGAAACCTGCAAAGGTACCTCAGGGCTTTGCTAAGTGTTAAGTGAGACTTCTGCCAAAATAAGTGGTCCAAGCAATCAAATGATAGTACATAAAAAGAAAGATTTTTTTTTCTAAAATTCCCTTTGGTCTCTATTAGAAAGTGACATTTATTGTATTGTGGGCCAATTAGATTATTTCATTAGAATGGCTTCTTAAAAATTAGTATATCAGCCTACCTAAATTAAAAATGTCTACTATATTTAAGTTTCAAATGTCCTTTACTTTTTAAAACAAGATACTATAGACTCATCTTGAAATTTATAATCTAAAAATAGGATTTCATCAAAATACTCTATTCTATTCTGGGCATTGATATACTATGTATTTACTCTTTATGGCTCTCCAGATGTGGTAAACACTATACCAAGAAAAAAAACCCTCTACATTTAACTTTATTGATAAGAACCACTTCTTGTGAAAAGAAAATTATATAGAAAAAAATATGAGCTATGCATTTATTTGAAAAGTAACTCAGCTTGACGTTTTTGAGGAACAAGACTTATCACAGATCAGTAGTGGCATGATAGATATATACAGATTGAAAGAGAATCACAGGAATAAAAATGAAATGATAGTTATAGACTCACAAATCCTTTTGTTGGCAAAAAGAAAAGCCAAAGAAATCCCAAATTCAATAACTTGATATTATACACTGTTGTGAAACCTTGTGCTGGAGCTGGACAACCACAGCTTGAATGCCTTGGTGACCTTTCCCCTTGGGCTCAGTCTTGTGAAAAGCTCACAAATGATCAGACACCAACTTTTTGATTAAAAACCAGGCAGGGAAACTTAACTTGTTTCTCTCCCTGATAGGAAAGAAGTGAGTGTTTTGGACACAGATAATAATGGTGTTCATTTTATTTGGATTTTATTGGCAGGGCTAAATAGGTATGAAAGGAGAACACAGAAAGTGTGGGAGAAAATGACTTTGAGCCATTGTCTGGTAAGAAACACAGGAGGTATGGGGATGGTAGTTTTGAGGCAAATTCAGATGGACAGAGAGGCAGCTGGTGTAACTTAGATGTTTGGATGTTCCCTTTTGTCCTGTCTTCCTTTTCTTTGTCTCAGGTTTATATATATTTTTTAAGGTGACTAGAGGCTATCAAGCACCTATCTGTGTTTTGTTCTACTTACAGATACCTTTGATGAGATCATATATGTAAGCTACTCTCAAGGCTAATTCTGCAGTCAAAAATGCAGGGTGGTCCTAGCCTTATAGCAGTGTTGGGATCTTCCCCTGGACTTTGAACTAAAAGATAAATCCTTGGGCTTCCACTGCTAGTCCTTTTTGTCTGGGCACAGACATGACCTGTCCCTTTCCATGACTGGCCACTTGGGGTCGGCTCAGGCTTCTGCCAGTCCGGAAGAACACACATGTGGCACAATCTGGTCATGGTGTACAGTCCTAATCTGCCTTCCTGTTTGCTTCAGAGAATGGAAGCATCATGTCCTTTTCTTCCCTTCCCTTAAATCCTCTGTATTTTACCCATTCTTAGAAGACTTTATCCCACAACCCCAGCACCCCAGCATGTGGTTTGCTTCCATTGTCTCAACATACTTTCACTGCACAGAGCCCAGGATTATCTGGCTTCTCCTCATTTCTCTCTCCATTTTGCAATCACTTGGACAGATTACCCATCCCCCCCAACCCAAGAAGAGCTCCTGATTCTCAGACTCTCATTTGCTATAAACTCTTATTTTTTTTTTTTTATCAAACTTCTCTGCAGAGTCTTCATCGATCCTCTCAAGGAGTCTCCTGTCTACTTTATATGATGAATCCCTATGCTAAGGCTAAAAGATGGAATGGAGTTAATATGTGGATTTTTTCAGAAGAATTCTTACATTTTTGGAAAGTTTGGTTGTTTCTGGAGAAGCAGTGCCTCAGACAAAATGAATCATGACCATATAGCTGCAGCTTAGGCACTGTGAGAGTATTCTCAACTGGGGATGTAAGTACTTTCCAGGTTTCTTGAATCAGATCACCTAGGTGGTACCCACTGAATCTGTTTGCAGGACCACCTCTGAAATCTTCCCATAATGGTTAAGATGGCTGCTGTGAATGTCAATCTCCTCACGGTGGGAAGAACACCATTTGGAACACATTCATATACTCATAAAGCATATTCACGTTTCTTCAGGCTCAGAATGTTATTAATTAGAGGTTCTGATCCTAGACTTTGACCAGGAATCAGCTGTGCTTCCACACTTTAGAAAAAGGGGTCAAGATATCTAATGACTGAGAGAGAGTTTTGATTCTCTAAGATATGTCCCAGTGATACATCAAGTTATTAGAAATTAATATAAACTGGTCATATTATCTTGGCTTTCACACTGATTTCCTCAATGTTTATGGAAGATTAGTATGAGTCATCTATTTGCAAAAACATTTTCATGTCTTTTAAAACTTTGTCTTGAAGAAGTTGTCTACTACAGTATCCACTTTCTTTTCTAAAAGAACTTGAGTGATAAATTTGAACTTATATTAAATCCCAGGAAAAGTTTCTATTTTCATACTAATAGCTCTACTTCTTATTATCTTGTAACAAATAGCTACAACTCAGTTTGTTTCGTTTCTGCCTCATTGTTATGATACCTGAACTTTATACTTAAATATATACAGCATGGTGTTATGCTTGCATTTCTTGGGGGGGGTGGTGGTCAAGTTGGAACTCTAAATAGGAAGCTTATACTCCAGAGGTGGCTACTTCTGCGTTTTGTTATTTGGCCTAATGAATTTCAGATAGGGCTGTTTTAATTAAAGAAATTATAGACCTGCTAATTCACATCATGAATGTTAGAAATGCATTCTCAGTGGTAGAATAATTCAAGGAACATGGTAGGGAAGTGCCTCATCCTTGCCTGAATCCAGAACCCCTCTTAGGAAGATGTTGAGGAAATGGTTCTAAGTCCAGCTGTAATCTTTGATGCCTGCTGACAGAATCCTGCTTCTCGCATTTTGGCAGCTACTTTATTTTTTTTTTTCTTTCTTTCTTTCCTTTTTTTCGTCAATAAGACGGTGATTGGAGAACCTAGAAGAAAAGAAATCTGGCCTCAAGGCTAAAATCAAAGTGGTTTTTGAAAACTTTTTGTGTGTTTGGTGTCTAATACAATTCAAGTTAAAAATTCAGAATTTGGTGTGAGACTCAGTTTTGTTATTATCTGATCAGGAGGTTGTTGGGCAGTAGCTAACCCTTACACAGTCAGACTGCAATGGCTATCCTTTTCTGTCTAAAGAAACTAAGAGTTGTGATTGGCTGAATAGACCTGGGGCATTCAGCAGCGTCCAGTTAGCAGGATGTTTAGAAATGGTCTCCTTACATCACAGATCTTAACTCATTGGTGCCTTGGGTAACTGCCCCTTTGCTTTGCAAGGATGGTTTTCATTTCTCTGATCCTATTCTACATGTTTAACATTGTGCATCTCAAGTCCTTTTGGAAAGGAGATGGAGTAAGAAACCAAAATGAATAATGAAAATAATAGAACGTTGTTGTTGGATTCTTTTTTTTTTCTTTTTTTCTTTTCTTGTGGCAAGGGAGGTGGGGAGGAGGGACGGTTCCATGGCTTTTCTCTTCACGTGTGGCTTATCTTGAAGTGTAACATTTACTGTGCTAGGGAGACCCGAACACATCTGTGGGGAGGTGCATGGCAGGGGAAGGAATACAGGGGAATGGTGCCTGAGGCTTATTTCTAATTGGCGACGCTTCAGTACAACTTGTCAAGGCTGCAGCCAGCACCCCTCCCCCACGACACACCTTGCCTGTATAGAAGCTCTCCCTTTGACGCCACCAAGAAGACACAGAGCTAACACAACGGCACTTGTACCTGTAGGTGTAGTGGACAGGGTTCTTGGGATGAGCAACCCAAATTCAAGTCTAGTTGCTCATCCAAACTTCCAACACTTGTGTGTGTCCAGAACACTGCAGGAAAACAAACGCAGGGGACCCATGGACACACCATGATGCTCCACGCGCACAGCCTCGTCCTCTCTGGATGTTTCAATAGCAAAGGAGTCTGGTGACTTAGAGAGTTAGTAGAAACTGATCTTGCTCCGGTGGTTTCCTGACCCAGGTGCCGAGCCCTGCTTTCTGAAAAGCCTTAAACATCTGCTGCTTAACAGACTGGTAGGTGTGCGCCCCCAGCTTGGCCTCACAGTACATGGATGGCGTGTCTCCGTGCCTTGGTATCCGTGTGCTAAGCTGTGGACAGCAAAGAGAAAAAGCAAATCAAACCACAAGCAGAAATAGGAACCTCCGCCAGATGAGTTTTGCAAGCAAAACGTCACTCTTGGTCTCAACCTTTTGCTTTTCTTTCTCTTTTCCTTTAGAACAAAGAAACAACACAATAAAGAACAACTGTGGTATTAACTCCTGCCTTCCATGAGGCCATTCTATGGAAAACCCAGTAACAGAGCAGGCTTTGCTTCATCGCAAGTGTCAATGATTAATGAACAAAATTAATATATACCTTGCCTGCTATTAAAAACATAATCACCAGCTGTACTTTTCTTTCTGGAGGAGGAATACGGGCTCCAAATGGGATAGGGATGCCAGGAACATTGGGGCAACTGAAGCAGCTCATGGCAGACAGGAAAGAGGAAGGGGTTTGGCTGATGTTGCTCGCCACTCAGAACAATACAACTAAGACGCTTTCTCTGCCAGGTTTCTGAGTGTATCAGGCAAAGCTTTGAAAGACAGCAAAAAGCAGGGATCAAACACGGTTCCAATTACACCCACAGTAGAGGAGGTCATGGAGGCTGCAGAAGAGAGGATGGCAAGGCTCCTGGGTTGGGGGAGCTCCCTACCCCATCCCAGGGGGAGTCCACAGATCAGCCCACTCATTGGCAATGTCCCCTTGGGCAGATATGAAAAAAGAGACCCTTTGTTTAACAAGGGAAGGCTGATGCCTCTCTGCCCTCCCAAAGTCTTCAGAGGTGAAACATGGGAAAGCGCCTAGAGCAGGCAGGATGGAGGCCGCCTGGCTTTGGACCTGTGCACACACGTATTGACTTGTGGCAAAGGCAGAACTTGCCACCAAGCTCCGAGCTAAACATGCAATATTCAGCACCATTTTAGTTGACAAAAATGTTTATTTTAAGCATCAGTATGTCCCTCCTGTTCTACTGGTTGATAAATCAGCCATAGCATTGTTATTCCTACTTGGAATCATTACTTGGATAAAAATTTTAACAACTCATTTTTTATTTGCTGACTTGCTTTTTTAAAAAAATGTTTTTGTTATAATCTTCTATGCTTTGGAAACACATTGTTTAAAATACAGAAATTTTGGTTTAAAATACAGAAATTCTGTGATTATCCCTGTTTATGGAGGAGAGAACAGCCTCTGAATGGTTGAAGTAGAGAAATACAAAGGCATCAGGATTGGGGAGAGAGCCTAATCTGAATGTTTACTACCTTTGCAATTTGAGGAAAATTTGCTAACTTTCCTGAGCATCAGATTTCTTGTATCTAAACTGGGGATAATGCCAACTTCAAAGTTTCTGTGGGAGCCACTGTTGTGGTGCAGTAGATTAAGTTGCTGCTTTCAATGCCCACACCCCATATTGGAGTGCCAATTCGGGTCCTGCCTGCTTTCCTTCCATCCTGCTTTCTGTTAGTGTGCCTGGGAAAGCAGTGGAGGATACCCTGCCACTTACATGGGAGACCCAGATGGTCTCTGGGCTGCTGGCTTTGGGTATTTGGGCAGTAAACCAGTAGATGGAAGATTCTCCCCCCCCCCCTCTCTCCCTCTCTCTCTGTCACTCTGCCTTTCAAATAAATAAAAAAAATTTCCATGAACTTTTCTTATGATACCCTATGTGAGGGGGTCAGTGCAGCGCTTGCCACATTAGCTGTTCAGCAATAAGTTCCCTTCCACTTGGCTTCCTAGGACTAAGCTTCCCAGACTGCAGTGCGGTCTGGGGATCCGGTTTGGGCAGTACAGTCTTAAATCTATGGGGAAAATGCCATTGGCCTGGATACATGGGAAAAGGAAACACAATGGGAGCTGGTTTTTGCGTTCTGTATCACTCTCACTTCAGACCCAAAGCTGGCTCACTCCTGTGATCTTGCTCCGAGTGTGAGCCCCAGTCTCTTGCAGCCAGCCTCTCCCAGCAAGGACAGATGCAACCTACCCTACCATACAGCCGTGCCCACCGGGCAGAGAACACGTGCTTGCAGAGCCTGGAGGAGCCCCCGCAGCTCCTCTTCCCTGTGGTGGCATTAATAATCTCCACGTCCGCATTGCCCACGACCCAGTTCACGCTGAAGTGGGGAGACTTTCCTGGCTGCCGTGCCTCGGCATTACTCACTCCTGTCAAGAGAGAAATAGGAAGCAGCCAAGCATGAATATTCCTGGCCCCAAACAGGGCTCTCATGAGAGCAGATAATGGGAAATAAAATCTGCGTTTGAGTTGATGTGAGATAGTCACACACACATCACCCTGCTTTCCATCTTTAAAACTTGGTCAGTTCACCTGGAGGTCACCATTGTACCTGTAGGAGTGGAGGTTGAGAATCAAGTTCAAACCCTGATGACGGCTTCATGCTGCAAGTCATTGCTGGTACCTGTTTTTCTTAACCTTTTAATTTAGAGGATATTATGAGCAGTCTTGTAGTAATAAAGCTCTGTGGAGATTTTTCCCCCTTTCTATGAATATTTGTTGAGTGAATGAACAAGCAAAGCCATGTAAAAACAATCCAGGAATGTGTGTTTATTGGGCACCCACTGTACCCCAGCCTTGTTCAAGGCATAACACCAGACATGGTAAACACCAGAGACCGCTTAGGTTTATAGTTTGGTTGATGAGGAAAAAACTAATCAAGAAAAATGTAAGAGTTTGGGATAATTAATTAATCAAGCAATGTGATGCAGAAACAACACTGGCTACAAAATTTCTGAGACTTGCTGTGAAAGGAAAATGTGGGTCCCTTTGTTTGAAAATTAAGAATTTCACAGTGAGTGAGCATGGATCATTCTAGGCTGCACACTTCCTGTGGGACTGGGTATGTCACACACCCAGGGAGCTGGTTCTGTCCAGAAAACTCGGAGAGTCCTACTTTCAAAGTGGCTCTCTCCTTGCACACTCTGACTTTTTGTTGGGGTCCACACCATCCTTACACCCATAGATTTCCACAGCAGAGCAGAGGGAGAAAAGCAGGGTGTTCCTGCTCTGTGGCAGCATTTGCTTCGCAGCCTGGGACTTGGCTGTACTCTCTAGCTCCTGATGGGCCTCAGTTCCTGCCCAGTCATCTCACAAGGTTCCTCACTGTGATCAGAACTTCCTACAGAGGCTGGTGCATAGCAGGTAAAGCCGGCATCCCATATGGGCGCTGGTTCAAATCCCGGCTGCTCCACTTGTGATCCAGCTCTCTACTATGGCCTGGGAAAGCAGTAGAAGGAGGGCACAAGTCCTTGGGGGAAAACCTGGGCATCACAGTTGTAACCAGTGTGTGGGCAGTGGCAAGTTTCATGTCCCAGTCTCTGTTCAGTCACATGGTCCAGCCACAAAAGTAAGTAGACAAACAACTGTGTCCTGTTTGTTCATGTCAGTGATATTGTGGATATTCACTTTATAGGCCAGAAGCCCTTGTCCGGGGCTCCCTGCTCCTGGAATCTCCCCCTGCTGCAGCTCCCACAAAGCCTCTGCAGGACACTTTCCACCAACCCAACCCAAGTGCACTGCATTTAGGCCACTGGAGTGGCAGGTGCGTGATGACAGCAACGCATCAGGCACTGCTGGTAGAGAAGCTCAGGTGTTGAACGTAAAGAACTGGCTGGCTGAGCACAGTGCGAGCTCTTGGGCCCAGCAGACTCCCTGAAGGGAGCCACTCATGTATGGAGTGGAACCACAGCACAGAATACTCTCGGTAGCAGCCCTCAGCAGAGTTCACAGGAAGATCTACTTGACTGTGGATTGCAGAGTCCCAAACCCCAGGATGTCCCCAGAGTCCCCAACTTCATTAGGGATCCAGGGTGCATCACCCTCTTGGACAGAGTGCATCACCCTCTGCCTCCTACCCAGTCTGGTGCCCCAGACTGAAAATCACCCTGTGACCTTCCTCTGGTCGTGGACATGCAATGTCAGGTGCCCAGGCTAATTCCATTCCTATCAGCTCTTTCTTTTCCCTAGAAGTGATTCACTGTGGCAGCTGCCCACCCCCCAGAACCGCACAGGGGGTACAATCTGGCCCTTTGGCAGCCATGGGCTGTCCTACTGGGCAGCGACTGCCCTGGCAGGAGGAGGCAGCTGCCAAGGTCAAGGATGACTGGGTACGAAGAGAGGCAGTCACTGCTCCAGATCTACAGGCAGCCAGGCTCCAGGGAGACAGCCTCTCCCTCCCCCACCTTCCTCTCCCCCTCCCTCTGTCCCTGCCCCTTCAGTCTTCATAATAATGGACACTGACCTCTGAGGCACAGAGCTGGGTCTTCTCGCCACCTTTCCACTCTGAGCTCAGTGGAAAGTCTTGGAGTATCTGATGTCCCCATGAGACCTCCCCGTTCCTTCAGGATACCCGACCTCCCTCTCTCTCCCCCCATTTCTTTGCTCTGGGAAGTTTAGCTGCTTTGCTGCTGTTGGCTGTCAGCACAGACACCTGCTTTGGAGAGGTCTCAGCTGCAGCCTGGCTGGGCTCCTCTTCCAGGACTCCTTGCAAACCTGGCCAACTTCAGCGGGGCCCAGACAATGCTGGGAAGGCAGCCATGAGGATGCTTGTGTCAACCCAGCACTGCTCTGCTCCGCAGGTAGGGACGCAGGGGAATACAAAACTGGGGGGGTACAGCACGGGGAAGGTGCAGGCTGATGGACCGAAGGGATCTGAGCTGCAAACGGGCAGCTTCTCCCACCCCAGTGCTCTGGTACTACCTTTTCTTTAGCCTTGGTCCCAACTTGTTGGCACGTGAGGAGGGTAGGGGAAATAGCTGCTTTGTAAACAAGACTTCAGCTAATGTGATGCATGCATGATCTAATTACAAAACCACTCACTTCTCACTACAGTACCATTGTAAGCTAATTTAAGTATGAAGTGAGATTGCAAGGCCCCTACAGTCTCCAATACCATTGAGTTTATCCCTGACCGCAGAGGTGGAAAGTGTGAACAGCCTCTTCATGTGACTTAGGAGTCAAGAGACCCGAGTTTCAGATCATCTTGGTTCCTACTTCATACTGGGATCTCGGCACCGGCCATTCTTTTCCTTATTTTGTTCTCTGACAGTGGTAAAACTTCTCCACTTCACAAGGCAATGTGAAGATTGAGCAAGACGCATAAGAGCACTTTTAAAGCATCAAGTGTCAGGGTTATTGTTATTTTCATCGGAAGGAAGATTTGAAGGTCACCTCAGCTTGTTTAGTGCTCTCCAAGTCATACAGATCAAGAGAGCTCCCAGTCAGCCTGCAGAAAATGCTTCCAGTTTAGTTATAAATCTTTTATTTCAATTATATATCTGCTTAACATTTGCATTTAATACCTCTGCCAGAGATGTTATTGTCTACATGTACTTTGAGCTCCTCCTGTAAGAATAATTTCTTTTCTGTCTTCTGCAAGCAGGGCTAAAACTTCCAAAGCAACACAGAAGGATGGCAGTCTTTTTCTTTTCTCTTGAAAAATGAATCAGCTGCATAGAGGTAGTTCTTGGAATGTCTACTAACAATTCAAGCCAGTAGCACATTTTTGACATCCCTGTAACTGATGGCTGGTATACTGATTATACCCAAGGAGATGGAATGACTCTGGCAGACTTACTTGAGACTAATAGTAAATTTACCAATGTACAATGCAACATGGAATATCTTCACGGAGCCCTGGCGTGAGTCTAAGCAATGTGCTCTCTTTCTGTGGGATAAATCCCACAAGGATGGACAACATGTAGTCAGGAGCAATTGAAAACTTTCAGAGAATATGCTATTACCTCTGATTGCTATGGTGGAGTGGGGAATGTTTGTTTCATTATTCTAATGGTAACCTGCCCTGGGCTACCTCTTTTCGTGTCAGGCTTCTGTACTCCCAGGAGTGTCAACGCTCTGAGGAAGGCCCTTGTTCCCTACTTGTCATGAACAGGCCAATCAGGCTCACTTGTACTTGCTTTCCACATTCCCTTCTTGGATTTCAGGGTGATTGTGTTCTTTTCCCCCTTGTGCCTAGAATTCCTTAAACTGAGATGATCTAAAGATCTACTTGCATGGTGGGTTAGGTTACTTCCAGATTCTTCCTTTTTAAAAAAAAAAAAAAAGTCTTGGTAATTTATTTATGTTTGGGAGACACTTGGTTTCTAAAGAACTTCTTTACGTATATGAATGATCTCACTGATTAGGCATTGATTTTATAATTTTAAATCAACTTCCTAGGTGCTGTTTTGACATCCTTGTGTACAGACATAAGTAAAGAATCTTCCAGAAAGTTCTTTAAAACACTCATTTATTCACTCCAACTGTACTGATTATCTCCCCAGCCATGGAGGATTGGACTTCTGAAAATGTTTAAAGAATATTAGGGCTACACTGCTTAACTCAGTGCTACATCACACCATGAATGATAGTTTGGGTGGGGCTGGATAAGTTGAACAGGCCTGCAACGACTGCATGTGTTTCATTTTTTTCTCTCTGTGGTCAGGAGCTATGACAATGAAAGAAGGGCATAAATTCTTGGGGACATTCTTCCTGAAGTGAACATCAAATTATTTAAGATTAAAAAGTCACAATAAATTGAAAGTATGTTATTGTAAAAATTAAAAGAAAAAGAGGAAAAGGAGGGAGGTTGGATGTGAGGGGTAGATGGAGTGTAAGAGGTGTGGAATATCATTGTGCTCTTAAAACTCATGTATGAAATACATGAAATTTGTTACCTTTGTCTAAATAAAAAATAAGAAAAAGAAGTAAAAAAAAAGCAAAAACAAAGAGTCCCTGAAACTGGGGATATGTTGTAAAGGAGTTGTTTCATTTTGTGGATTAATATAGTCAAAAATGTGTAAGAGTGAAACTGACATCTATGTTCTGACTGTTGTTTTCAGCCCTGTCTATATTCCTGTGGAATAGTGATCTTTCTACTTTTTACTTGTTGAAAATTATGGTTAGTGGTGCATTAAGTCTGTGATTATAAGATAAATTGAAATTATGTTAATGCAAAATTAAAGGAAAAAAGAAGGAAGGAGGGGAGTTGGAGGGAGAGAGGGGTGAAGGGAAGTACAGTTCTTTTCTTAGAATTGTATCTGGCCGGCGCCGCGGCTCACTAGGCTAATCCTCCGCCTAGCGGCGCCGGCACACCAGGTTCTAGTCCCGGTCGGGGCGCCGGATTCTGTCCCGGTTGCCCCTCTTCCAG